GGGAAGCTAGATCATCATAGTCGAGTTAGAGGATTAGCAAAGACAGTTGGTATAACACAATTCTTTGGTTCAAGTTCATAAAGCTCTTCAGGAAGAAGTATCCCAAGTGCTGACTTGATGGTTAAAGTTTAAGAGCAAGTTTATTAAGAGATTATGACCAGTGCAGAGGTTCATCAAATCTTCAAAAATGAGCTTATGTCCGAGCTTCATGAGGAGATGAGATCTTTGGTCTCTAGTATACAAATTGGGCAAGTTCAAGAAGAAGAATTTACACCCCAGGTTCGAAATTAATCTCAGTTTAATCTTCTTTGAGTTGTGCCAACATTTTTATCGTTTAATTCCATGCTTTCATTTGTATCATGCACCCAGAATTCTCCAACCTATGGAAGCGCAAAAGATAGTTTCAATCCACAAGTGCCATCAGCTCTGCTTGACCCTAGTCCCATCCCAAATGATAGAGAACCTTGCATTCTCTATTTAGATGACCAAATATGCGTGCTATTGCTAATGCTCTTAAATACACACGAGGGTCTAAAATTCATCATAAAAAATTGAAGTGGACTTGGTTAAGGTGATGGTCACAACTATTCGAGAGGAAGAGGCAAATGCAAATGTCCAGTTCCCTAGTGACAAGGTTACTAAACTAGGCCAAGTAAAAGGATGTTTTATTTTATGGCCTAAAAGACTCCTTGATGTCATATGTCTGATGGTACAAAACACTCAAGCATATTCTAATTTTTTGTTCATATCCTCCTTATTATACTTATCTTTATTCAATTTTTATTAAGATACTGAAAGGGCTACTGAATTTCCTTGCTTGGCTCAACTATATGATATTTACGAGTCAATTAACAAGGTCAACATGACAATGCCTTTGGGGATTTTGGGGGAGGAAAGGATGTATCATTTTGGACCATATTAGAAGGACATCAAGGACTTTCTATCTATGGATGAGCTGGACATTGCACAAATTCAATTAGCAATATGGATTTTATTTTATTATTTTTTTGTATGCTCATTTTTAACTTATACATATGAACTAATTTTTGACTCATTTCAACTTGATTATAGTTACTTCTACAATTTGTGCTCTTCTACAGAAAAGGAGATTTATATGGATTCATGTGTCCACAACTTTACAACTTTTGAGAAAGCCCATTGATAAGCAGATGAGGTACGTGGATAACACCATTGGAGAAACCCAATTACCTTGTTATTTTTTCCCCATTATTGAATAATAAGTAGCTTATATCTATTTATATATTCAATTTCCCATGAATTCACTAGTTTCATTTCTTTTTATATTTTAGCAAAGAATTGGTCATTGTGCATTGTTTACCCTATAAACAATGTCATTTACTGATTTGATTCATTAGGTCGTTGCCCAAGTGGTAATATTAACTATGTCTTAAATACGTAAGTTTTTGTCATCTTATATATTGTTTTCTTACTTCACTAAATTGTTCTAATATTTGGTCATTTTCATTTGGTCATAGGTCTTTGACGACATATTATATACAGGGTGGGAAGCGTAAGGGTAAAAATAGCAAGGCAACTTGGCATAAGCTAATAGTAAGTGTTTCAATTTAAGTTCTTTAATTTCATCAACAATTACTTCAAATATACCAATGTTTATCTTTGTTATTCACTTTTGATTTATAGTGTAATTTGCAACTAGGAAGTACAGAGTGCGGATACTATATTATTCGTTTCATGTATAAAATTATTGAGTCTAGATATACTAAATATTTTGAGATGGTAATAATTATTTTGATCGTAATTATTTGCTTTTTTTAATTTGATTTCTTGCTTTTTTTTAATTATCTTATCTTGATTAACTTAAATTTCTTTATTTATAAATTTATAGATTTTTGATGATGAAAGCTCTTACACTAATGAAGAGATTGATGGTGTTCGAGATCATTTGGCAGAACAATTTCTTCAAAAGTTTTTTTCTCAAAATGATACATGAGGTTGAAGGGCTTAGATATGTTTAGGTTAAAGTTACTTGTGTTATATGATTATGTTATAGAGTTTAGGTTTTTTTTATGCTTAACTAAGTTAATTAGAATGTTATTTTGATAAGTTATTGTTTGGGGTGTTATTAGGATTCTATTTGCATGGAAACTACGATGAATAAATTGCCTCTACTAAATTGCTAGTGTTGTTGTAGTCTGTTTTGGTTCAATTTCAATTGCAGGATTCAAATGAAAACTGGTATATACAAATTAACCAATTTTATTTTTAAAAAGCCTCATACTCGTCTATTCTGCTAAACAGATGAGTATGAGTTAGAATATTCGTCTATTAAAAACAGACAAATATATATCTACTATCTACGTCTCCTATGTCAACGTTCCCGTTGAAACAGAAAAAAAAAGCCTCCAAAACAGACAAAAATGATCTTTTTTGTAGTCGTGATAGTGTGTGTATATATATCAGAAGGCCATGTTTGGAAAAGTAATAACAAGTATTGTCATGTGAATTAATATATGAATATAAACCAATTTTTTATTCATAAAATTGACGTATATAAAAATAAAATGCTCTAACCATCCTTCTCTTTTACCTTACACACATTATCCCTCTTTTTTCCTTGTTGCCAACCACATCATCCCTCTGTTTGAAACCATGTATTTTGGTCCAAACTGATATATATAAGGGTACATTGATAAAACATCATTAAATTTTATTATCATTTAGATGATTTTTGGCATCTGTGGAAACGACAGATTTTACAAAAAGGAGTGATTTTTATGGATCACTGAAAAGACACGGAAGTCTTTTAAGAAAAAGGATTGGTTTGGAATACCCTATTCATGAATTATAAATAACAATTTACTAAAACTTCGATTCGGTTAAATCAATTGATTCAGTGATTCAAAGGCCGGTAAGGTTTAATCCTGGTAGAACTGGAGACAACCCAATTATGATTAAGATAATAGTATATATACAAAATTATTCATATAGAACCTTGAAAAGAGTAATATTAAAATAAAAAAAAATTAATTCACAAGTAAATGGAACATTGATATATAAATTATTTATTAATTCAAAAAAAATTATAAAGCACAAACTTAATGTACTGCGTTTTTTTAAAAAAAAAAAACTCAACAACATCATTTCCGTTCAATAAAGGGAGACGAATCCATAATTATATGTGCTTTGGTGGTTTATTTTGTGAGTTTTGGGACACTTTTATGACCTAACTCATGATCATTTTGTTTAATTGAGTGCTAACAGCATTTTAGGAATTATATGCTTAATTGCTATTAATTGAAGATAATTATGTGATTTTTTTTATTCCTAAATATTTTTGTCTCTGAAATTATATGATATTATATTTAGTTGAATTATTTTTCAGGAAATTATTAGGAATATGTATTTAGGCAGGTTAAATCATGCGCTCTTTGTGCCAGAAAGAAAAAGATTTTTCAATAGGACCAAAATTTCATGAACTGTTCATTCTACAGTTTTTATTCTCAAACACTCTTTTAGCTGAACCAAACATGGCCTAAGTTCTAAGCTTTCCTCTCTCATTCCATTTTCAGCCGCTAGAAAGAGAGAGAGAGGAGGCAATTCTAAAAAAACCCATCTTCCTCTTTGTTCTTCGTTCTTCACCTCACATTCTTCATAGCTTCGCTTCCATTCACACAAATCATCTCATTTTCGAACCATTCCCATCTCTCCCCACCAAATCAATTGCATCATCTCATCTTCATCTCCTTCATGTATCAACCGTGACCTTCCTCTTCATATTCATCTCTTTTTCCCATCACTCCTCATGAAATCTTCCTCTCTTCCGCCTGTTCGGCCATGGTCGGAGCTTCATATCAGCGGGTCGTTTCTGTAATGTTGGCTAGGCATGGCTAAATCCCTCGGTCCTCTAGGCCAATGGTGATGATTGGATGTGCTCTGAGGGTTCATATTTGTGTGGAGATTAGTTGTAGCCTTTGAATCTTAGATTGGCATTTGACATTATGCTTGTAGCATCTTCAATTTCATTATATTTCACTAGGTCAGTGATATTTTGAAATTCTTGAGAATATTTGGTGATAATATAAGGTGACTTGGTTAATTGCTTATTTTTTATTCTCTTCTGCTAATCGTGTTGAAACAGTTTCTTTGTGAGTAATTAATTTGAAAGGTGGCCTGATTTTAATTATTGTAATTAAATTGAGTCTAAAGGATGGCCTTTAGAGTTTTGGAAGTTAGCTAACTCCTAAATTAATTAAAATAATAATAGTCTAAATCATTGCGCTAGAGAATTACCATCTCATTCTTGTCACTTGTTAATTCTCATTTTTCATTTCATCCATATCCATTTCATAAACCCAAACAAATATTTTACTCTTATTGCATTAAAAAGAAAATTAATCCTTTTCCAAGCCAATTTTTATATTTGTGTACAGTTAGTTACTTAGGAATTTTTAGAGATTCCCTGAAACCAATACGTCCTAGATTATACACTATATTATATTAATTTGATTTATTTTGAAGTAAACTTAAGGTGATTAATGGCTCTTTTATCATTGTTAACCCAACTAGCCAGAGGACTAGATCACTAGTTAGATCGACCACTTAAGTTAGGTTTTTATGCTGCGGTGCGGTCAATACTTTCTCATTCCATTTATATATGATAATCAACCTCATTATCATTCGTAACGATCTCACTACCATTCTTACGCAATTAGTATAAGATAATTAATACGCAATTATCGATCAGAAGATTAACATGTTAGTTAATGCATAAATAGTGAGGAAGGAAAACCTCCCAGTTATTATTATCATATCTTTCATTTTTGATTGCTAAAAGCAATCTCTCATAGATATTACACAAACACTACTAAAATACTTTACCAAGATAACACACTCATTAAACTTTGACGTGACCCGTGAAACTCCATTCCCAAGGAGAGCATGAAGCCCAAGCAGATGCACCTAATGGTCTCAACATAAACGTAAAAACACATACTTTAATAGTAACACAGTTCTATGTCTTAGTAATGGGTTTCAGTATCTAGTTGCGCATCCACAGCTTCACCATAATAACAGCATCTTCTACAGATTCCTCCGTACCATCCGCCACAGCATCCATATCGGCAATATCCTCCCCCATAGCCACCACCATAGCCGCCACGTCCAGGGTAACCACCTCCGTAGCCGCCACGGCCAGGATAGCCACCACCATAACCACCATGACCAGGATAACCACCGCCATAATACCCACCACTTCCTGGGTAACCTCCATAAACGTATTTGGCATCATCTACCTCTCCATGTTTCATTGTCTCTACCTCAGGTACCTTAGCTGCATATAATAAATATAAATTGAAGAAACACTTACATGGTTAGAACAAATACTGTAAAAGTTTTTTCATAGTGGACTTTTCCTTGAATATAAACTAAATCTTTGGAAAAGCGACATGTTTTATGAAGCCATACCATGTTATTGCACGTAGCAAAATAAGTGGACATGGCAAAAAGCTGTGTATAGTGCTGTAACAACATATATATATATATATATATATATATAGTCTAGAGGAAGAAAAATATAAATCTTGACTATGAACATTAAAAGTGAATATACAATGTATTTACTTGAAATTTATTAAGTGATTTTGGCATCGTATGAGGTAAGGATCATCAAAACAGCTTTTTTTTTAAAAAAAAAAAAAAGTGATTATGGGAGTTTGCCAAAAAAGTACCCTCAAACTCACCATGATTAGAGGAAGACTCAGACAAGTCCCTAGCTGTTACCTTCGAGGTGATAAGGAGTGAAACAGCAAAGAAAGCAAGAAGAAGAAAGGGCAATTTGGAAGCCATTTGATGAGTTGCTTACGAAGAAGGGAGGTGTACTGTGATGGTTGATAACCATTCGTGTGCTCTATATATATACACAGTCCCTCGGGAAAAAGAGCTATATGAATTAAGGGCCTGCATGTAGTTGGGAGTTAGGTTTTTCATTAATTATAAACCTTATCTAAGCTATACGCTATAAAATTCCAACTTGATTTTCATCTGGCTTTTTATTTTTTGTTCTTATTCTGGTTGACAATGTTGAAAATATTAATGGCCCACGAAATTCAAACAGAATTTATATTTGCATGAAATGGCTCGATTGATCAAAAGTGGTTAATTTGTTCATTTGAATTTGAAGGCATTTGATAATAAAATAGCATATGATATGGACGACATCAATCGAATAAGGGAGAATTTGTTACAGGACTATACTTGAGTCAATGAATTAATTTAGGAAAATAAATGGTTGATCAAAGATATGTTGGAATATATTGATGATATGATCGGTTTCTTTAACTCAGAATGTTTACAATTACATAGCATAGTTATTTAATTGTTGGATTAGGTTTAGGTTATGTTAATTTCTTTAACTTATGTTTACAAATTACTTCTCCGGTTCTAAATATAAAATTTTTTTTGTAATTTAAATTATACTACAAAATGAATTTTATATTTAGTACTAGAGAAGTACATTGTTATTGATTTTGAAATGAAATTGCATGTTTTTATTAGTTTACTCTATCATCTATCGCTGGTTGCTGGTTTCTAGATTCTGATTGTATTGATTATTTGAAGGGAGGATGTCTATAAAGTAGAAGATATTTTTTTTTTAAAAAAAAAGGGTTAAACTTACTACCTTGTTGATTGGCAAGCAACGCAGTAAAATGCTTTTTACACCTCGGCTACTAAGAAAACTGATGTCAAAAGTTGAACTTCCCACATCGTTTTGATGAGATAAATGATGTGGGAAGTTTACTTTCCAAGTCCATTACACTAAATAACCGATATGGAAAGTACTTTATTATGTCGTTTACTTAAGCAAAAGAAATGGTTAGATAAACTATGTCAACGGCATCTATAACCCTTATATTCATAGCGAAATTCAAATTCATAACCTTATAAGTCATAAACTCAACTGGACAAAATCTATTATTATCCTCACACATACTTTTACTTTGCATGTAAAAATACTCACAAGTATGATACACACACACATATAATAGATCATTATGTTGTTAATTAAATAATTTATATTAATTATTTGCCTCATATGCTTTGTATTTTTCTTAAAAAAAATATTATATGCCCAACTGCACAAAGGACTTCCATGAGAACAAAGTAAAATTAATCAATTAGGACGGATTCTCATACATAAACGTAAAAATAAATACCCACACTCATAGCAGTTTGACTTTGACACATAACTCTGCCCCATAAATTCAAAGAAAGCAAAAGTTAGGCACCATAATCAAACCCTAATTTTCCTTTCACTTCATTTCTAATTTATGTACCTTACTGCATAATAGTGCTTTCATTCTACCAACTCCTATGTCCATCATAGTCTTAAGTCTATCTACCCACTCCTAATATATAGAGACGGCGTCTCTATAATCGTAGGGCGAGCCCAAATTCTTATATTGCATGCCATCCCCATAAACTTTTGATATGAATAAATCCCTATAAACTTTTCATCCTTCTCTTTTTTCTCTGGGATGAATATAAAAATTTGTGATCTAATTATAGCATAATGATCTATTATTTTTAAAATGGGTTAAGATATAGATTTTTTTTCGAAAGTTTTTATTTAAGCACTCTGATCATCTAGAATTTTTGTTGATAAAGTTGAAAAAAATTAATTTAAAATAGATTTAATAAGTCAACTATCATTTTTTTGATGCTAACGAATTAATTTCAAAAAGAGTTAAGTCGTAGATTTATCATTATTGATTTATTATTTTTAGACATATACACAAACATCCACATTGTCCTTGTAATTAATGTTTATTAAATTATAAAAAAATAAATAATCAACTCTCAGAATCTTCTCATATTCAATGGCACGTATTTATACAGACCCGGATTATTTAGAATGATAATATTCTAACTTATCACGTTTTTAAAAATAATAAAACAGAATATCTTAACGATTCATTTTATTAAAATTACTTTAAAAATAATAGAAATAAACATTAACTAAAATAGGATAAAATAAAAAATTAATTGTCCAAATATTACTCCGAGCTTTTTTAACAGAAAAACAAGTAAATATTTTTTTGGTGGAAAAAATATTACTTCACCTAGCTTGCTGCATTTGAAACTCAACTAAACTGACCAACAAAAATTAGTCTAATTTGTAAAGAGCCATCAGTTTATAACTCATGGCATCATTAGTAAATAATTTGTAAACACTCCTGGAGATATACCGTGGTTTTATAACCAAGCTCATCTAAATTTTTATACCACAAAGGGAATTCAACTGAACTATTGAAGACACCAAGAGAAACTATGGGATCCAACTACAGAGAATGGCTCGATCCAGGTTTAAAATTGTGAAGTTTAGGCCCATTTTCTCAACCCCAAAGTTGTCAGTTCGGCCCATATTTGATACACATCGCCCCTAGATGTTTCGAGTCTCCCCTCCCCATCTCGTTCTCCATCTTCTTGTCGCCGTTGACTGGGTTTCCACAAAGGCAAGGTTGGCATGCTTACCCTCTTATCTCTCTTCTCTCTCAGTTTCTCATTCTAATTTTCTCCTTCATCTGTGTGTTTTTTCTTCCTATATTTCTCACGATTTCTTAGCATTGTTTTTTCTTTCTTTTTCGTGAATGGTTCAAACTTTGATCAAACTATTTTGAAATTTGATCCATATTTGTTTGGACTTGGATTCTCTCAACTACACTTCCAATCCTCTTTCCCTCCACTGCCCTCCTTTTCCCTTCACAACTATTGGATCAAAACTCCAATGGTCCATATTTAATATTTTATAACATTTTATAAAAAAAAAGTATTATTATAAAAATAGATAAATAAATTTAAACTGGTAAAATCTAATCTAAACAGCTCATGGCTACAGACTATTATTATAGAACAAATTTTTTCAATTTTTTTTATTACAGTTGTGATCTGTACGGATCATATTTTAACAGTTTAAATTTATTTATTTATTTATTTTAATAATATTATTTTTATAAGATGTTGAATCTGAACCAGTGGAATTTAGATTTGTTTGATCTAATGGTTGTGAAGAGAAAAAGAGAGTAGAGGAGGAAAAGAGGATGGGAAGGGTTGTGGAGAGAATTCAAATCCTATTCGTTTTATTCTTCCATTTTTGTTGATATGAAGCCCGGTACTATGAGGAAGTTGTTGCTGGTTGCATAAGCCCTCATACAAAATGTGCATCGGCCAAGAGCTTGATGGTTGCAGGAATCCGCAACATGTTTGGTTTGAAGGGTTACCTTGTTTGTTTGGTTCCCTTAGGGCTGAGAGAGAGAGAGGTAGTAATAATCAAATTACCATTTTATCTTTATTTATTATTATTCTTCTTCTGATACTTAATAATCTAATTGAAAAGTTGATATTGGTACTATATATAAGACATATTTCACATGTTTATCAATTTTTTTAAAATTAACTATGTTAATATTCCTCTAACAATAATTAAGTAGGGGAAAAAGAGAAAGGAAATTAATAAAGATATTTAAGGTGTTTTAGAAAAACATATTATATTAACTAATTTAAATAACATAATTAATACACTCAAATTAGTTAATTATGTCAAGAGGAATAGTTTACATTTTTATTTAGATATTAATTTACATCTTAAATAAAATTACATACTTTAATAAAAATTCAATCTTGTTATATCAATATGTATATTAAAAAATTGGCACATCAATTTTTTATTCTAATTAATATAATAATATATTTTAAGCAATCTAATTAACAAATTTTTTTTTTGTAAAAACCAAATCTTCATTCTCTTTTAGGCTATGGTTCATTTACCAACTTTAATATATATTTTAGTTAATAAAATAATATATTTGTAAAACATAATTAATTTTAGAATATATATTTTTATTTTTTAACAAAAAATATGAGGGCAAAATTGGTTTTCCCTCTCCAAAATTTCTAACTAAATGAAGCGAAGGGAGCATTGGGATACCGTACTTTTTAGATTTGAAATGTATTTCTTATCTTTATTTTAGTATTGGTTATCATTGGATTTAAAAAAAAAAATTGGGTAAAGGAAAGGAGCTAAGCCCATACAACACTGCTACTTTCTAATCCTACAAGTGACGCAATGACCCAGTCTATCTTGTTCCAAAATGTTCGGAACTTTAGTTGGCGGAGTTATTCAAGTCCTTTTAATGCTCGAAAGCTTTTGACTAAGCTCAGCCAATTTATCAGTACAGCGATTTCCTTCTCTGAAAATATGTCTCCACCTAATGTTCTAGTCTTTCTTCATCATCTCACTCATCAACAATTGGAGGTGCTTATAACCTTCTATTATGAAATTATTTTGAAACACCTTACTCACAATAGTAGCATCACTTCCACTTCAATCTGTCTAAATCAAAGGTCCTAGCACATTTGCAGTCTTTCAATGATGCTATATACCTTAGCTTCTGTTGAGTCACAATTGTTTAGTTGATGGGAGAAGCCCCGTATCCACTCACCACGGTCTTCGCTTATCACTCCTCCACATGCAGCTCCCCCACCGTGTTTGCTCATTTCATCTGTGTTCAATTTACATTGGTTCTCTAGAGGTGCTTTCCAAGAGATCATTACTTCTTCTATGGTGCCTACTACTATTCCTTCAACCCATTGATGGTGATAAGTTTCCAGATACTCAGAGATTCTCTTACTCGCATCAAGGGGCATTTCAAAATCTGGATTATGCACTTGTTGGTTTCTTTAGTACCACATATGCCAACACGTAACTACAAACTTCTCAACCTAGAAACCCTCTTCTTTTTTGTGAGTTTTGAGCACCAAGTTGCTAGTCATCCATGTACCCCAATCCA